GCTCCCGCGGGCTGCGGCACCAGCTCGGTGTCACTCACACGTGGTACAGGGGGAAGGAGGGCTGGAGGGACTGGGGCTGGTCCAGGGGGGTCCAGGGGGATCTGGGGTCCCCTACCGTCCTAGTCCTGCAGGCCCCTACAGCTGACGGTGGCTGGGGGTGCTGTGGGGGTCTTTGGGGGTTCAGGGGGTCCCCGTATTCCCCCAGGCTCCCAGAGCTGGCAGCGGCAGTGAGGCTGGTGGCTGAGATCAGCTGGGGCAGCATTGTGGGGCTGGGGGTGCTGGAAGAGGGGGTTGGAGGTCTGGAGGCATTCAGGGGCTCCCCTCGTCCCTCCAGGCTCCCGCAGCTGGCGGCGGCCGTGGGGCTGGTGGCCGAGATCAGCCGGCAGCTGGGGCAGCGCCGGGCCGAGGCCGAGGCCGAGATCGGGAGCAGCTTCGAGGAGCTGGAGGCGGCTCTGCGGCAGCGGCGGGAGGTGCTGCTGCGAGACCTGGAGGCCACCTGTGCTGCCAAGCAGCAGGTAACACACCTCTCCTCGTGCGTGCCCCTCCTCTGTGCCCCCACACCCTTTGCCAGCCCGTCCTGGGAGGGTGTGCGTGCCCCAGCCGTGCCCCAGTGCCAGTGGCACCCCCAGTGTGGCAGTTGGGGGTCCCAGTGCAGCCCCAGGGCTGGGGTTGTGGGCAGGGCTGTGGTGCAGGTGCGGGTGCCGGTGGGGGATGCAGGCGGGGCACTGGTTGGGGGTACTGGGTGTGGGGGTACTGGGTGCGGTGGTACTGGGTGTGGGGGTCCCGCCCCAGCGCCACAGAGATGTGCCGTGCCCAGAGGCACTGGAGGTGCTGCGGCAGGGCCAGGGCCGGGGTGCAGACAGCGATGCGGGTGCGGGTGCCGGGTGTGAGTCCCACAGGCGCCGTTCCCCCCAGGTGCTGGAGGCGCAGCTGGAGGTGCTGCGGCAGGGCCAGGAGAGCATCCTGAGCAGCTGCGCCTTCACGGAGCAGGCGCTGCACCACGGCTCGGCCACGGAGGTGCTGCTGGTGCAGAAGCAGATGGGCGAGCGGCTGCGGGAGCTGGCGGCGCGGCCCTTCCCCGAGCACCCGCACGAGAACGCGCAGCTCGAGTTCCGCGCCGAGCCCGAGGGGCTGCGCCGCTCCATCCAGAACCTGGGCGCGCTGCTGACCACCAGCGCCACGGCGCACACCACGGTGGCCACGGGCGAGGGGCTGCGCCAGGCCGTGGTGGGGCAGCCCTGCTCGCTCAGCGTCACCACCAAGGACAAGGACGGGGCGCTGGTGCGCAGCGGCGGCGCCCGCCTGCGCTTCGCCGTGACGGGCCCCGACGGCGCCGCGGCCGAGGCCGAGGTGCAGGACAACCGCAACGGCACCTACGAGCTGGTGTACACGCCGCGCGCCGAGGGCGACTTCGTGCTGTCCATCCTGCTGTACGGGCAGCCCGTGCGCGGCTCCCCCTTCCGCGCCCGCGCCCTGCGCCCCGGCGACGTGCCCCCGTCCCCCGAGGAGGCCAAGCGTCGCGTCAAGTCCCCGGGCGGGGGGCACGTGCGGCAGAAGGCCCTGCGCCGCCCCGCCAGCATGTACGGCAGCGCCAAGCGCAAGGAGAACCCCATCGAGGACGAGCTCATCTTCCGCGTCGGTGAGCGGGTGGCGCGGGGGGGACCTCGGCGCTCGCCGGGGTGGTGGGGGCTCCTCGGGGTGGCGGGGGGCCTCCTCAGTGCTCCCCACGGCAGCGGAACCTTTTTGGGGCTCCCCAGGGCAATGGGGGCTCCCCGGGGTGGTAGGGCTACCCACAGCAGCAGGGACTCCCCGGGGCTCCCTGAGGCTCCCTGGGGTTGTGGGGGGGTCCCTGGTGTGGTGGAGGGCCCCAGAGGTGGAAGGGGTTCGCTGGGGTGGTGGGTGGTCTCCTGGGGCCCCCTGTGCCTCCCTGACCGGTGCCCGCAGGCAGCCGCGGCCGGGAGAAGGGCGAGTTCACAAACCTGCAGGGGATCTCCACGTCCAGCGCCGGCCGCATCGTTGTGGCCGACAGCAACAACCAGTGCGTGCAGGTACGGACCCCCTGGGGATCCCAGACTTCCTCGGGACCCCCGCTGACACTGTACTGACCCCTGCAGAATCCCTCCTGCCCCACCGACCCCAACAGCAGCAACCAGTGCGTGCAGATACAGACCCCTGGGACCCCCAATGACCCCCCCCAAGACCCTCCTGGGTACCTCTGGATCCCCATGACCCCACTGGCCCCATTAGCAATAACCAATGTGTGCAGGCACAGGCCCCCCCGAACCTACAAACTCCCCCAGGACATTCACTGACTCCCCCGGGGACACCCCTGACCCTGCTGCTCCCCCGGGTGTTCAGTAACGACGGGCAGTTCTGGCTGCGTTTTGGGGTGTGGGGGTGCTTCCCCTGACCCCCCCGGCCCTGCTGCCCCCAGGTGTTCAGTAACGAGGGGCAGTTCCGGCTGCGTTTCGGGGTGCGGGGGAGATCCCCGGGGCAGCTCCAGCGCCCCACGGGGGTCTCTGTGGACACCAACGGCGACATCATCGTGGCCGACTACGACAACCGCTGGGTCAGCGTCTTCTCACCTGAGGGCAAGTTCAAGGTGAGGGGAAAGAAAGCAGGGGGGGTGTCTGTGGGGCTGGGCGTCCGTGGCACCCCCCAGTCTGACCCCCTGCCTCCCCCAGACGAAGCTGGGTGCGGGGCGGCTGATGGGCCCCAAGGGCGTCGCCGTGGACCGCAACGGGCACATCATCGTGGTGGACAACAAGGCCTGTTGTGTCTTCATCTTCCAGCCCAACGGGAAGCTGGTGGCGCGTTTCGGCTCCCGTGGCACCGCCGAGCGCCAGTTTGCAGGTACCCCCCGGGTCCCCAGCTGTGGGGCCTTGGGCTCCCTGGGGACTGGGGCAGGACCATGGGTCTGGCATCACCAGGGTGGGTGGTGGCACCGAGACCCCAGCAGGGCTGGGGGCTGGGTCCAGGCTCTGGGTCCACCTTCTGGTTCCAGGCTGGGGCTCTGGCTCCAGGCTCTGGGCTTGGGGTTTGTTCTGAGCTCTGGTTTGAGTTCTGGGGCCAGACGGGCGCTCAGGGTCTGTTTCTGGCTCCAGGGCCACGTTTGGGGCTCTGGGCTGGGGATTCGGTTCCAGGTTCTGGCTCTGGGTTCTGGATTCAGTTCTAGGCTGTGCCTCTGGGCTCAGGTTCTGACAGTGGCTCTGTGCTGGTGGCCCTGGGTTCTGGGCTCTGTCCGTAGGTCAGGACTTTGGGTCCATCTTGGTCCTCCCATGGGGCCAGAGCTGAGCCCCACCGTTCCCCCCAAGGCTGAGCCCCCCATGTCTCCCCCAGGGCCCCACTTTGTGGCTGTCAACAACAAGAACGAGATCGTGGTGACCGACTTCCACAACCACTCGGTGAAGGTGAGCCGGTGCTGGGGTCCCCTTGGTGCCGTGGGGCCTGGGGGGGCTGTGGTGACCCCCTGGTGTCCCCCCCCCGCACACCCTCAGGTGTACAACGCAGAGGGCGAGTTCCTGTTCAAGTTTGGGTCGCACGGGGAGGGCAACGGGCAGTTCAACGCGCCCACGGGGGTGGCTGTGGACAGCAACGGCAACATCATCGTGGCCGACTGGGGCAACAGCCGCATCCAGGTACCGCACCTGCACAGCTGCACCTGCACAACACCTGTGCCGCACACCTGTACTGCACAGCTGGACCTGCACAAATACCTGTACCCACACAAACACCTGGACCTGGACCTGCACACACACCTGGACCTGCACACACACCTGTACCCA